CCCTAAACCCTAAACCCTATGGGAGCTTTTGGAGCAGAGCTCTGGAGCGGGGCCACCCTGAACAGCGGATTGGACCAAAGTTTTCCTTTCGAATCAATCCGTGACAGTCGCAATCTTGGGGGGGTTTCCGAAAATAGGGGACCCTACTACTGTTGCTGATATAGTTCCTGCATTACCCTAAGGGTCCTAAACATATGGGAATTACGGTATATCCCTTATTATGGGTGATGCAGGATTTATATCATCAACCCTAGTATAGTAGGATCGTTATTACAAGGACCCCCAAATAAAATACCCCTTATTCTCTGGAAACTCGCATTTATGAAAGGGACACCAGGGAAAGCATGACTAGCCCTGGCAGATTGTCCTTTCACCTGATGAAGGCGGCAGGGCTGCCGTTTGCCAGAAGTGACTGCGCACTTGAACCCTCAGCCCTAAACCCTAAACCCGAAACCGAATTCCCATTCCTTCAGTTCCCTCCTCAATCAGGCAGCCTTGCAGCAGCGCCTAAATTCGCCAATTGTGTGGGCAATACTGCATGTAATATGGGCTTATATATGTTTCTATCAGGGCTTTCTTGGGTTTTTTAAGGCTTTAACGAGTTTTACAGGGTTTATTATTGGGATGTGAATAAAGTGTACATTGCATAACACAGTTGTATCCTGAGATATTAATACACTCCAAGCTCCCTATTCCAACAGCTACAACCCCTCTAAACAGCCCGAGCCCTTCATGACGGCCCTCTGAGACCATCATTCCACGTCCTTCTAATTGTACAGCTCCTACGCTCCTAAACCCTAAACCCTAGCCCTTAAAACAAAGAAACATGCTTTCGTGGGCCACGTCGGCCAGAAAGCGAAGCGCAGCGCTCAAAGAGCCTGCCTGGCTTCGCTGCCCAGCACCTGTCTTTCAGGTGATTTGAGGTCACCGACACAAGGTCGGGTGCCCAAAATCTTGGACAAGCTTCTGGGGGTCACCTTTTCTCTCAAGACTCAGGTGTTTGTTGCTTTGGTTAGGTGCGCATCTGCTGTTTGAGGATCTGGTGGGGCTGTCATTTGTTATGCGCCCTTGGCCTTTGTAGAAGAGGCCATTTGGTGAGAAGGGGGCGCCAAGGCGGGGCTGAAGTGAACTTGGCCTGGCCCCTTTGCATGAATTTATGTTTTAGTTCGTGCACACAGAGGGCTCAACGAGACCCGAAGCCAACACTGGCCAGCTTTGTGTCTCTCGGTTCCATAAATCCTAGTCCTAAACCTAAACCCTAAGCCCTGAACCTTACGACCTTACAGCCTGAACCCTAAGCCCAAATCCTAATGTAGCAGCCTTAATAACTACCTATACTATCTTGGGAGTTCCTTATTGTAATGATAGTATAATGTACCCCAAAGCCCTATTCTAATCATTAAGGCCTCTACATTAGTCCTCAGCCCTCAGCACGTGTGCTTCTCAACAATCCGCACGGTTTCTGCCGAGGGCTGCGTGTTGCAACATGCGAAGGAATGGAAAAGCAAGGAGTCAGGTTTGCAGGGGCAGCTCTGTGCCGCTGCCTTCTTGCAGTGACTACCCCCCTGCATTTAACCCTAAACCCTAAACCCTAAACCCTAAACCCTAAACCCTAAACCCTAAAACCTACACCCTTAACTCTAAAAACCCGAAACCCCAAACCCAAAACCCTTGCGGGAATGAATAGTGACCAGTACTCGACTTCAGGATTCCGTAGTATGGGGGGCTCCGAAAAGAGGGGACCCTCTTGTATGGTAGGATCCTTATTAGAAGGGCCCCAAAATAAGGTGCCCCTTGGAAACTCCCATATAGCTATACTCTACTATACCCAAAGCTCCTTCCAATTTATCAAGGCCTCCACCGCATCTGTCGAAGCTGCTCCTTAAACCCTAAACCCTAAACCCTAAACCCTTCTGTGAGGTCTGCCGTACTCCTGGCGAGGGTGGAGCCCAGCAGCCGAAGGCGGGGACACCCCGCTTTGGGTTGAGGGTTCAGGGTTTGGG